TGAGATCGAAGAGTTATTCTTCCATTCGAGTGTAGTGGAGGTGTCAGCCCGTCGAGGCATCTACTTGGGATCTGATTCAGACATGCGGAGTAGATATCCCCACCTGTTCACCAGCCCAAGTACTTTTCTATGCCCGTTTGAGGACGAACGGTTGTTTTAGAGGTGAAGAATGTGATGAACCGAAAGGCCATCTTGTGTTTTAGAACTCAATTCTACGCTTTTAAGCCTTGAAAATCTCATTTTTACCCTCTTTGATTTGCGTGCACATTCCGGGTGTGTTTCCGGAAAGCTTTTATGTTAACGGTTGATAAAAATAAGAAATTTTGCCTAAAACTTCATTTGAGTTGACTTCGGTCAATATTTTGGTAAATGAACCCGGATTCATGTTTTGACGGTCCCGGTGGGTCCTTAACGTAATTTGATACTTGGGCGTATGCCCGAAATTGAAATCGGAAGTCCCTAGCGCGAGATATCGGACTTTGTCGAAATTTAAAAGTTAAAGACTTAATGAAATGGAGATGTTTGACCAAGGTTTGACTTTTTTGATATCGAATCCATATTTTAGTTCCGGAATCTAGTATAGGTCTAATAACCTATTTATGACTTGTTTGTGAAATTTGGTGAGAAACGGAGTTGGTTTGACGTGATTCGGACGTCCGGTTGAGAAATTAGAAGTTTCAAAGTTTTCTTGAAAATTTCATTTGATTTGGTGCTAAATTTGTAGTTTTAGGTGTTATTTTGGCGATTTGATCACGTGAGCAAGTTCTTATGATGTTTTTAGACTTGTGTACACTTTTGGTTTTGAGCCCCAAGGGCTCGGGTGAGTTTCGGATAGGCTACAGAGTAAAGTTGGACTTAGAGAATATTGCTGGTGTATCTGATCTTGTTGCAGGCCTCTAATCTCGCATTTGCGAGATCAGGCATCACATATGCGACCTCTGAGGGGTTTGCACTTGCGAGCTTCTCATCGCAAATATGAAGTGAAGCTGGACCAACAGTTTTTGCATTTGCGAATTTTCTTTCGCATTTGCGAAGGGAGTCTGGGAAGGGCAGTGATCGCAAATGCGATTCTGAGTCGCATTTGCGAGTGATCGCATTTGCGGAGATTTAAGTTCACATTTGCGACCTTATCTTCGCATTTGCGAGGACAATAGAAATGTGGGAGGTTCGCATTTGCGAAAATTTTCTCGCATTTGCGAATCCCAGGTCGCGTTTGTAACATCTGCAGCTAGTAAAACTTGACCTAAACGGGATTTTTGCTCATTTTTCACAACAATAAACCCTCTAGGCGATTTTCCAAAGACCATTTCTTCTCCAAAATATTGGTAAGTGATTCTAAACTAGTTTCTTTCAATCTTTCACTTCATTTTGCAAGATTTCAACCGAAAATCTAAGGTTTTCATGATGGAATGGGGATTTTTGAGTAGAAACTAGGGATTTGATAAATTGGGTATTTAGACCTCAAATTGAGGTCGGATTTTAAAACTAATTATATATCCGGGCTCAGGGGTGAATGTGCAGTCGGGTTTTGATCCGAATTTCGGGTTTGGACCATGCAGGCCTCGGGTGTCGACTTTTTAAAAAATGGCCTAAATTAAATTCTTTGCCATCATGGGTAGTTCTTAAGGCTTAATTTGAATCGTTTGGTTGGTAAAATACTAGATTCTATCGGTTAGGAGGCTCGTTTGAGAGGAAAAGCCGTGGTTGAGCTTTGAGTTAGCCGTTGGAGTGAGGTAAGTGTCGTGGTTAAACTTTGCTTGAGGTATTAGGTCTTATTTGCCTATTTGCTACGTGTTTGAATGTTGATTACAACGTATAGGTAAGGTGACGAGTACCTATGCGTTGTTGTCGAGTCATAACATGCGAATGAGTCTTATTCATGAAATTGTAGTTTTCCGTGATCATATTACCCATGCTTAGACTAGTTTATTGTTATGTTGATCATTCTTATTATATTTGATGGATTTTGGTATTGATTGAGTATTGATTCAAAGTTGAGGTTGGTATTGTGGAACCAAATGTTGAAGTAAGACTTGTTCTTGATATTTCTATCTCCCTGTTGTTATTGTTACTTATTTTGGTGAGGGAAAGTGTTAATGCACGAAGGGTGATATCGTGCCATGATTTGTGTGTGTTAGTGCACGAAGGGTGATATCGTGCCATATTGTGAGTGTTAATTCACGAAGGGTGATGTCGTGCCATGACTTTGTGAGTGTTAATGCACGAAGGGTGATGCCGTACTATATTATGAGTATTAATTCATAAAGGGTGATGTTGTGCCATGACTTTGTGAGTGTTAGTGCACGAAGGGTGATGCTGTGCTGTTTTATTTTATTCATATGGTGAGGTTGAGAGTAAAAGCACGAAGGGTGATGCCGTGTACTTTCTCTTGATGTGGTTACTTGACCTTATCTGTTCTAATTATATCGGTTGATCAAAGTTCTTAATTCTGTTGTGATCCTTTATCTTGTGATCCCCTCAGCATTTCCCCCTCCCAATATTGCCCGTCTTATTTCTTTTATTATTGTTATTGGTATATATATTGTTATTCTGCACAGGTTTGTTTTGTGGGTGTCTTGTCTTAGCCTCGTCACTACTTCGCCGAAGTTAGACTCGACACTTACCAGTACATGGGGTCGCTTATACTGATACTGTACTCTGCACTTTCTATGCAGATTTTGGTACCTGTCCGAGTTGATCCTGAGTTTAGCTACTGGCTTCATCTGATCGGAGACCCAAGGTACACTTGTTGGCGTCCGCAGGGCCTGACGTCTCCTTCCATATATTATCTTTGTTGTTTCTTTTGTAGCGAAAACAGTTGTATTTCCTTCAGACATTTACTTAGAAGTTCGTGGATTGTGACTCCAGATTCTGGATAGCTTTATATATTAAGATTGTTATAGATTTCCTTACTCTTTTCAATTTGTTATGGTTTATTTGTTGTTAATCACTGAAAGGTTTAAGAATTGGTTTAATGATCTCTAACATTGGCTTGCCTAGCAAGTGAAATGTTAGGCGTCATCACGGTCCTCACCGTGAGAATTCCGGGTCGTGATAGCCCTTTGGTTTATAGATAGTCAGCAGAAAAATCATATTCTCGTACTTTCTATTGTTTTCTTCTAGGATATTACTTCTTATATTTATTTTATCTTATTTCATTGTCAAATTAAAATACTGCACTAGATAAATGTGGAATTTAATATATGCACATGAACGAATTCTTAACATATGATATGGTATTGAATTTTTATATCTCCAACAAGAAGTTCCCCTTTTGCTTTTGGTCTATTCTTCTGCTTCAAAATAGTGGTCAATGTTTGAAAAATAAACTGTTGGAATAGCTTAATTTATGGTGAAATATAGTTACCAAAATTGAAGAGGCTTGACTTGGGAAAGCGTTTAATTAAGCAGGGACTGAAACAGCTACAAAGAGTAGAACTGAAGGACCAAAAGTTAATACAATAAGATTGGCAGCTCATACCTTAATCTTGTGATTATACAAACATAGACTCGTCCAATATTTGCTAGGTACTTCAATAATTACGATAAAGAATGCCATTTCTTTTGGCTGAAGAACATTTCGCAACAAAAAGAATAAATAACTCATTCTACATGGACACCGCAAGGCACAGGGATCTTTTGTTTTTCCTCTTATTTTCCCCCTAAATTAAATAATATATTATCAAATGTACAGACATTTCTAAAATAGAAGGTTCTTCTTAATTAGGGCGATTTATCTTCTACACAATATAGGAGTCTTTTCAGTGTGACAAGTCTTTAAAGAGTGGGAATATTTCCATTTAAATTCCCAGAGAAAAAGCTTTGTCTACGCCAAACCACCAGTTTCAGGTACCTTAGCACATGTTGTTACCTTTTTCGTAGAAGAACATTCATGGCTTGTCACCATAGGCGGATCCAGTGAAGTTTATGAGTTTCTAAAACGATATTAAGTAAATATACAATAAATGACTGGATTTACAATTAAATATTTATGGATATTTAATAAAAAAATTTAATACATATACAAAGTATGTGCAAAAGTTATTGAATTTACGGGAACCTACACCTACTAAGCTGGATCCGCCCCTCTGCTTGTCACCCTTTGGTTTAAGATCTAGTACTGCTAGGATGATATTACAAGGATGGTTTATGCAATGAATACATGGATTGCCTAATCTAAAGGCATTTTTATCTCAAATACTTTTTATCACATATTTCTAATATATGTGTATTCTTATCACATATTTATCCCCGGTAAAATAATAGGAGTACATATAATCTCATATAAATTACTGCATCCAGAATTAGTAATGGAACATTTGATTTTCAGTATAAAACTCCGGATAACTTATGCGGAATTCAATGCCAGAAGCCCAGAAGCCAAACGATGTACTACTCATATATGGAGAATACATAAGTTATCTGAGATTTTGCATTGGAACCAAACATTATGCTATAAGTAAAACGAAATTTAATAAGGAGATTACTTCAGACCAAGTGATCACTCGTAGCAATTATGACTCAACTAAGTAATCCATGGCTTATGAAAGCTAATTTAACCTTTTGGGTTTGGCCTTCAGGCCACCCAACCCTTTTGCATGAAAGATGTTGGGAACACCATATATATAGGCAAATAAAACACGCAAAAAAGTTAATAAAATATTTCGAGTGGTTACATTCTGAATCGAATAAGCTAGGCAGTTCATGAGCAGCCAAATTCATCAGAATGAATCTCAAATATTTTGGATGATTACACAAGGGACTCTGTCCCTCAATTGTGAATTTCTAGGATCTCTTCACAAAAGGTGCTAACTAGTGAAAAGATAATTCTCCAATATTTCCTGTATTATAAGTATGATACCAAACCAAACTAACAGAGGTGGAGCCAGGATTTCAGCTTTATGATTCTGAATTTTAGAACGATGACTTCTAGTGTATATATTTTAACGAATATCTTAATATAAATACATTATTTGAGCAAAAGCTACTGAGTTCGGATTCGTATTCAAGCTTGTAGCTCCGCCCCTGCAAACTAACATCTTCAATATACGAGAGTATACAAGATAAACCCGAGTTTGTACTAGATGAACTGTTAAAAAGTATTGCATGTGTTATTATTAGCTCTTTTTCCTACCCCGTGCACAGAAATGTAAAACATTCCAAGACAGTGTAGCGACAAATTAAACATAACATGGCTGATCACATTTCTATTTACTAATAAAATGTGGAATGAACTGCTCCACGATCTGGTGGAGATGCTCCAACTCCCCTTGAAGAAGACGCAAGACCTGCATTCGTGTTTGCAACCAGCCACTTCATCAGTTAAAGAGTAAAATCACAAAACAAGATATTCCATCCATATTCAGCAAGCAAGATCTGTGTCGAATACATTATGTTACTGCATTACCAAAATTAAGTTATTATGGTTACAGAAGAGTAGAGTTCAGGTATAATCAATTAGTTCTTTCCCTTCTATAAAGTAGTTTACAACACTAACGCCCCCCTCCCCAAGAAAAACATGCTTTCCTTTCACTTCTCCAGCCTTAATTAGATTCATAATCAAGATTTTTTTTTTCACAGGTTTTTTGGCTATGACAAATGGCCTGAAAGTTAGTTCTTGGTCAGTTTATCACCAAATCAATATGATAGTGTGAAACAGTGGCGGAACCTCCGTTATCCAGGGTGACAACCCTTTGTTGGAAATTACACTGTGTAGATAGGTAAAAATAATAATGTGCACATTACTATATTGTTAGATCCCCTTGGCTTCTTCATGTGTTTACTTTTTTATATTTTGACTCCCCTTAATGAAAATCCTAGTTCCGCCACTGACATGAAACTATATGCATTTTGGCGTCTTATGAGCAATAGGATGTTAGGTTGCACACTATCAAAAATCAGAGTACGGAATGCAAATTGCTAGACAACAATAAAGATGAAAATTCCAGCTCCCAATCTTCCAAAGTGCAATCAGTGAACTTATACCTATCATTAACTGGGTGCACCAAATTCTCCAAAGAGAGGTGGTCCCTTACGTCAAACTAGAATAACATGGCAATTCATCCTTCTTTTCGGAAACTGGGGTAAAATAGACTGGTGAAAGCAATCTCTCTATAGTTTGTACATCATCAAATCACGGAAGCCGATACTCAAAATGGACTAACAAAAAAGACTATCAAGTAGAGTTGAAGAAAATACAATATGACACTTAACAGGCACAACCTTGTCCTAGAGAGCAATCATAAAACAACAACAAAGTTTTTTAAGTCCAAATTAAGACAATAGATTGACTTCTGATTTCTGATGTTCAAAAATATCACTACTGTGTTGCATACTACTGCTTCACAGTTATAATAGTGGCCGTATTTCAACTGAAGAATCCTGAATGTTTTTGTTTATGCTTCTTGAATGTTGCATAGGGAATATTATGAAGAGAATAAATATGAACCAATATATGAAACTTAAAAACGAAAAGAATAATATCTTTGACATGGATTGATAGGCTGATGATATGTTCAGTGTTCTATTACTAAGCAGTTCATCAACAAATTGACTTCATAAATTAACAAGATTTACCTCTCCCATTGATGGGCGCAGTTCAGGGTCGTTCTGCACACACATGAATGCTGTTCTAGCCATGTGGTACACTTCATATGTGTCATAAGAGTCACCTATGCGAGGATCGATGAGCTCATGCAATGCAAGCCTTTTAATGAGTGGAATTGCCTGAAAATGCGAAAGATCAACTTCCCGTTAAATTGCACTCAAATTTTGAAATGAAAGTTCCCTAATCTAGCTAGATCTTTGAAGGAACCGAATCTGACTGTGATCCCAAGTAACGAAAGCCCAGAGAACATACCCATTGTCTAAGGGAGTGATGGCCCTCTCTCACTGAATCTACGGCTTTGCGTCCTGAAATTAATTGTATAAGAACAATGCCAAATGAATAGACATCAGTTCTTACAGACACAACGCCATTTTCAGCATATTCAGGAGCCAGATATCTGCATGAAGCAAGAAAAGCTTTTGGTGAATATCTGATTCAAAGTTGTCATCTATGTATGCAATGAAGTATAGGAATTGCTCACACCCCAACGAGCCAAGTATCCTCGTGTAAATCTTATCCTCGTCTGTCTTCCACTTAGCCAGGCCAAAGTCACCTATCTATGACAAATGAAAACAAATAGAATTATCCATATGAACAATGGAATGAGTATTAGCTTCTCAAGTGTTTTTATTCAGGTCTCAGTCCAGCTTGGAGGAACAGAAGCAGAGGGGCGGGGGGGACGAATGTGGTAACTACAAATTATCTGTTCATTCTATTTAGTCTAACAATACTAATAATGTTTCTGTGTGAGAATCAAAATGTGTAGATTTACCATGGGAACAAAGTCATGAGTGAGCAGTATATTGCTAGGCCTCAGGTCACGATGAATAATTGGACCTCCACGACATTCTTCATGCAGAAAACGCAAGCCCTTTGCAGTGCCGATGGCAATAGCATATCTGCAGTGCCACTCAAGGACATTTTCTGTATTCTCTGCCAAGATATTACCCGAAATAACTATTTATCTTGCGCTTTATGTTGCTGCACCAATATTTGACTTATCATAATTATACGTACCAAATAAGTGCCACTCAAGAGAATTATTGCAGATGTATTCATAGACCAAGATGTTAACATTTTCCTTGCAGCAATAACCCAAAAGCATAACAATGTTTCTGTGACGTGCAAAGCTCAAAACATAAACTTCAGAATGAAACTCGGAAAAGCCTTGTGTACTTGCTTCCTTCCGCACCTTTGCAGCAATGACCTGACCGTCTTTTAACCGACCTTTATATACACGACCATATCCACCTTCTCCAAGCAAATTATCCTTCGAAAAATAATCTGTTGCCAGCTGTATCTCTGAGAAACTGAATCTCATTGAATCCTTGATATATAGTTCTGTCTTTGCTCCACAAGCAATACAAAGAAATGGAGTATTAGAGGATTTCCTTGATGTAGGTGGTTTTCGTTCTTTCTGAATAACAGGAGGAATTGAATGCTTCAAGTCCTCTCTGGCAGACCTACCTGTTAAAATTTTTAAACAATTAAAGCACGAAGAACAGAAGATGATTCTCTACTCTGTCAAATGCCTTACAGTGTTACACTAGAGATTGTTACATCTTTCATCAACATCAAGGAGGCCAATACTATAACAGATTTGTATAATTCAACTAGTTTAAAAAACACCGAAAATAGAAAAAGCCTGTTTTAAACTCATGAGAACTGTAAGGAAAGATATTTCTTAGTATTCCTCTTCTTACCTCTTCCCTACAATGTTGAGTAGGAATCCAAACTACAATAGGACTACAAACATTTCAGGAAACAGAAGGTCTTTTAAAACCATGAAAACTGAAAGGGAAGATATCGTTGAGAATTCCTCTTCTGATGTCACTGCACTTCCGCAACTTAAAGTTATCAGCACAAGAACCACTACCAAAAGCCGATGATTTACCAAATTCTTAATGAGTAGTTCATATGCAAGAACAATAATCCATTTTCCCAAAAAATGAAGAACCAGCTAATTTTACAACTAGAATTAGTATAATGAACAATAATATAGAATCAAACAAGGCTTGGAGATACCTTTCAACCCACACAACAAGGAATAACTTCACTATGGTAATATTTGTTTCGTGTGAGCATGAGTATCATAATGAAGTTTTGTAACAACAACAGCAAGATTTTATGCTAGAATTTTAAAAATATCATGCTTTTTTGTTCATTCAGGGGTACAGCGTATAGGCCTACTTGTTAACATTAGAATAAATGAGTTGTTTTACATGTCCCTTAAAAGGTATCGGAGAAAAAGAAGGAAAAATCTAACTAAACAAGGTTAATGATATACGCATGCCACTGATATCAAGAGACATGGGTAATAGTACCCAAATGGCTGCATTTCTTTTAAAATTATTGTTAGAATAGCTATGTGAATATATATGTAATTAGTCCTAGTCCCATATGTAATAAGAGTATGTTATATATTATGTTTACTTATAAATAGGGTTCATTATATTACAATTAAGATCAATAATAGATTTTTCTCCCGTACATTCTCACATGGTATCAGAGCATCAGTAAGAAAAGATCATTGTACGTCATTTCAACGACATCCGGGAAGAAAGAACTCAGTCACAATTTTCCGGTGACCTAAGTGCCTGTTTGCATGAAATTCACTATTTATCAGTGTTGTACACAAACCAACACCACCACAAGGTCGTCATAGTCCCGCGGCGCGACCAAACCCTAGAAAACCCCACCAGAAAATTCCTACCCATGCGCCCTCACACGTCGGGCGCGTGAGACCCCTTCCAGCCAGATTCTGACAAACTTCCTTAAGGACAACTTACTAGCACGGCAATTCCGAGTTCACCAGTGCTATTTTCGACAGATTCCAACAACTTTGGAATTTCCGGCGAGCTACAGTGTTTTCCGGTGTAAAATAGTGTCCTTTTTCTCTGTTCAAAGTTTTCCCAGATATTTCTTCAGTTTTCCCAGAAGTTACTGATTTCCACTATTTCAAGTTAACCCTACAATGTTTAGTCAAGAATTTGAGAAATTAATAGTAGCGAAATGGGATCCAATACTATGAATAGTTGGATTGTTTCTCTACCAGATTATATTGAGTTCCTTCAATACAAAGCATGTAAACAGACATCTTCAGAGACAGCTTCTGTTGCTCAAACATGTAATAGCGTAACTTGTGTCTCCTAATCTTCATCCTCCGATTCTTTGGTCATTGATTCAAGTGCATATGATCATATTTCTGGTAATAAATCTCTTTTCACTAGTATTTTATATTCTCAATCTCTTCCAACAGTCACAATGGCCAACGGGTCTCAAACCATAGCAACTGAAATTGGTCAAGCAAGTCCACCTCCTTACCTTTAGATTAAGTTCTTTATGTTTCCGGTAGTCTTTTTAATCTCATAGACGTTAGTCATTTAACCAAATCACTTAAATGCTTTGTTTTATTTCTTGATGACCTTGTTTTTATACAGAAATGCAGTACGAGGCGAATCATTGGTACCGGGCATGAATCAAATGGACTTTATTAACTTATCCTTGCTAAATCACATGAACCCATATCAACAGCTTGTTTTGTTAATGATTGGGACATCTCAGTTTGTCAAAACTTCAGAAAATGGTACCTGGTTTGTCGTATTTATCTACTCTAGAGTGTGAGTCATGTTAGCTCGGTAAGCATACTCGCTCCCATTTCCCTCGGCGTCCTGATAATCGAGCAGAGTCACCTTTCACTTTAGTCCACTCAGATGCTTGGGGTCCTAGTTAGGTCAGTTCTACCTTGGGATTCTGCTGCTTTATTAGTTTCATTGATATTATTCCAGGTGCACTTGGATATTCTTAATGAAAAATCGATCTGAGCTGTTTTCTATTTTTCATACCTTCCACACTAAAATCAAAAATCAATTTGGGATTTTTATCCGTATATTTCGTAGTGATAATGTCCTAGAGTATTTGTCTTTTCAATTTTAGCAGTTTATGAACTCTCATTGTATCATTCATCAAATATATTATCCACACACATCTCAACAAAATAGGGTAGAGGAAAGAAAAAATAAGCATCTCATTGTGACTGCTTGTACCTTACTCATACAGTCTCATGTTCCATTGCGTTTTTGGGGAATGCAGTTCTCACATCTTGTTATCTTGTTAATCGTATGTCATCCTCAACTATCCAAAATTAAATTCTATTCTTTGTGTTGTTTCCTCACTCACCCTTGTTCTCTCTTCCACCTCTTGTCTTTGGGAGCGCATGTTTTGTTCATAACCTTACTCCAGGAAAAGATAAGTTAGTTTCTCGTGCTCTTAAATGTGTATTTCTAGGTTACTCGAGAATGCAAAAGGGATATCGATGCTACTCACCTGACCTCCAGCGGTGTCTTATGTCTGCTGATGTTACTTTCTTTGAAACTCAACCATACTTCACAGGCCTAACTGATCACTTAGACATTTCTGAGGTGCTACCAGTTCCATCTTTTAGAGATTCAGTCACTATTTCCCCTTCACCTTTCTCCACGACTCCATCACCTACAACCTCAACTCTAGCTCCAGCCCCACCACCTATAGCTTTTCCTGCATTCTCAACCATAGAAGTCTTACAGTTACCAAACGTTGAGGAATCTAGTGTACTCCTCCTAGAACCCCAGCTACAGGAACACCACTCTTGATTTATCATCGTCGTCCGCGCCCAACATCAGGCCCAGCTAATTCACGTCACACACCTGACCCTACTCCTACTGCAAACTTGTCTCTTTCTAATCAGTCTATTGTACTTCGGAAAGGTGATGGACCACACTTAATCCTAATCCCCATTATGTCGGCTTAAGTTATCATCGTCTGTCATCATCCCATAATGTTTTTGTATCTTCTTTTTTCTTTGTTTTCATCCCTAAGTCTATAGGTGAAGCATTGTCTCATGCAGGATGGCGACAGGCTATGGTTGACGAGATGTCTGCTTTACATACAAGTGGTACGTGGGAGCTTGTTCCTCTACCTTCAGGTAAATCTACTGTTAGTTGTCATTGGGTGTATGCAGTCAAAGTTGGTCCAGATGGATGGGTTGATCGACTTTAGGCTCGTTTTGTTGCCAAAGGGTATACTCAGATATTTGAGCTCGATTACCGTGATACTATCTCTCCTATGGCTAAAATAGCATCAGTCCGCCTTTTTCTATCCATGGTTGTTGTTCGCCATTGGCCTCTCTATTAGTTGGACAATAAGAATGTTTTTCTTCATGGTGACCTTGAGGATGAAGTTTATATGGAGCAACCACCTGGTTTTGTTGCTCACGGGGAGTCTAGTGGCTTTGTATGTCGGTTACGCCGGTCACTCTATGGTCTAAAGCAGTCTCCCCAAGCCTGGTTTGGTAAGTTCATCACAGTTTTTCAATAGTTTGGCATGATGCGTAGTAAAGCTAATCACTCTGTATTTTATCGGCATTCTGCTTCAAATCTCTGTATTTATCTGGTGGTTTATGTTGACGATAATGTTATTACCAGCAATGATCAAAATGGTATTACTAAGTTGAAGCAACATCTCTTTCAGCACTTTTAGACTAAGGATCTAGGCAGATTAAAGTATTTTCTAGGTATTGAGGTCACTTAGTCTAACTCAGATATTGTGATCACACAACAGAGGTACGCCTTAGATATTCTTGAGAAGACATGATAGACTGTAGACCTGTTGACACTCCTATGAATCCAAATTCTAAACTTCTACCAGGATAGGGGGAGCCACTTAGCGATTCTGCAAGATATAGGTGGCTGGTTGGTATATTAAATTATCTTCCAGTGACTAAACCTGACATTTCCTTTCCTGTGAGTGTTGTGAGTCAGTTTATGGATTCTCCCTGTGATAGTCATTGGGATACAATTGTCCGCATTCTTCGGTATATAAAATCAGCTCCAGGCAAATGGCTATTGTTTGAGGATCGAGGCCATGAGCAGATTGTTGGATACTCAGATGCTAATTGGGCAGGATCACCTTCTGATAGACGTTTTACGTCTGGATATTGTGTTTTAGTAAGTGGTAACTTGGTGACGTGGAAGAGCAAGAAACAGAATATTGTTGCTCGGCTAAGTTGCTCGGACACGGGTGCGGGTGTCCGACACAGGTGCAGATCTAGAGGTCGGATCCTTCGAGATGTAAATTCTAAGATTCGGGGATACAGATCCTAGTATGGATACAGGTGCAGGGATCCGGCTAAAATTAATTCAAAAAAAATAAAAATATATCTAAATTTGTAAGAAATCTAGTGGAATACTTATGTATAGCTTGTAAAGTGTGGATTTCTTTTTTATTCTTAAGTTGTAAATAAGTAAAGGATTGATGACGTAGATAAGGTATGTTATTTTCTTCAAATTTATCCTAGTTTTGGTTTTGATTTCGGGAATCAAATTGTATCTTGTATCGAATTTTTCCATCGGTTGTGGTTAAACTGTTAAAGTACCCAAAGGTGTTTGACCAAATCCGGTATGGATCCCATACCCACACCCATACTAGTGTCGTGTCGACACAGGTGCGGCACCTAAACTGAAGTGTCGGAGCAACTTAGTTGCTCGGTCTAGTGCAGAAGCAGAATATCGAGCAATGGCTATGGCAACATGTGAGCTAGTTTAGATCAAATAGCTGCTCAAGGAGTTTGAAATTCAGTGAAAACTTGTGTGTGATAATCAAGTCGTCGTTCATATTGCATCGAATCTAGTATTCCATGAGAGAACTAAACACATTGAGATTGACTATCACTTCGTAAGAGAAAAGATACTCACAGGAGATATTACCACAAAATCTGTGAAGTCGAATGATCAGCTTGTAGATATTTTCACCAAGCCCCTTACTGGTCCTCATATTAGTTATATACGTAAAAATATGTTAGAATAGCTATGTGAATATATATGTAATTAGTCCTAGTCCTATATGTAATAGGAGTAGGCTATATTTTATGTGTACTCAGACAAGAGGGGTTGCTCTTATGGTAAGCAACTTCCACTTCCAACCAAGAGTTTGTGAGTTCGAGTTTCCCCAAGAGCAAGGTGGGAAGTTCTTGGAGGGAAAGATGCCGAGGGTCTATCTGGAAACAGCCTCTCTACCCCAGGGTAGGGGTAAGGTCTACATACACACTACCCTTCCCAGACCTCACTAAGTGGGATTATACTAGGTTGTTGTTGTTGTTGTATTACAATTAACATCAATAATAGATTTTTCTCCCGTGCATTCTCACAATTATCATCATGCTAGCTCACCTGATCTTTCTTGCATAGGATTGGCACTAAAATCTTCGAGTGAAGTGCTATTCTCCGGTTGTTTGTATGTCACCATTTCATTGTTTGCAATTTCGGAGCTTTCCACAGAACCTGAGTAGTTCATCGAAATAACAGATTGCTCTGTGTTTTCTTCAGTCGGAGGAGGTGCCAAGGGTACTTGCTTGGACAAAGAAAAGTATAACTTATTCTCAATGCTGTCCGCATCAATTATGGAATAAGGTCTCATAACCTTCACAAACAAGTTATCACTAATTAATGCAACTTTGCAAGGGATGTGTTTAAGGTAATACGTCAAATCCCGCCTGAGGTACCTGTAAGGGTTTAACCTTGTCATAATTAGAGAATAGAAAACAATATCATAGAGTCAAACAAACATGAGATTCTATCAGCAATATAGAGGCAATAAACATATAAACCATAGATCCAAAGTAGGAAGCAGAAGATGACATAAAAATTAATCCAAGAGGCTTACTTTTGAAAGATAAGTACTGACTTCCTTGTAAGAACTACAAAAATGCGGACATGGTGTTTCATAGATCCAAAGTTGGAAGCACATCAGTATAGATTTAACCAGGGAGGCTGAATTCTCAAGGATAAGTGCTGACTTTCTGGTAACAAATAGAAAATGCATGGTTTTTCTCGAATCAAATGAGAGAAGAGTCTTGCAAGACATTGTTCCACCTTTGATAAAATCATTGAGCTTTAGATTTATGCGCTTCTGTTTGTATCAGACAGTAGTTACGAAGCTCAGAAATCAACATCAGAAGCACCAGATATGGAATAAACAAAGACCTACTTTGGACTGAGGGAACGTGCATCGACCCAGCTCTACTTAATAGCGGCAAGACCTTTTCATACGTGCATGCATATTGTGGATGTCATGTAGTTTTTTAGTTCAATAACTTAAATTTGCTCTTATCTTCATGAAACCAAATATTCATGATCCCATCAGCGAGTCGAGGGACTAGTTTCATGGACTTTAAAAGTTACATTTCCTCTTCATGTTCTTTTAGCGAGTACCACCAAGCATCATGCTTAGTGGCTAATTTTATCTCTTCATGTTGAGAAAGTCTGTCATGTTTCTTTCCTTTCAATAAAACCAAGCTTTAAGAAAGTTTTTGAATTATCAACTTCCCTTTTCTCTTCTTCTAACTAAGGAGCAAAATCTTTGCAAACAGAAGCCTGATTTTCCAACCACAATAAGCAACAAAATATATTGCAATCACACGATATTAATAATCTATGCGCAAACATAGATGATATTAATTCATACGATATTAATAATCACTGGCTAGAGGGTTTCAAGGTGGGAAGTGCAGATGGTAACTCTGTTACAGTCTCCCATCTGCTCTATGCAGATGATACTTTGATTTTTTGTGGAGCTGAAAAATCACAGGTCTTATACCTCAATCTTACACTTATGATCTTTGAAGCTATCTCAGGCCTACACATGAACATGTTGAAGAGCATCATCTACCCAGTCAATTCAGTTCCAAACTTGGAAGAGCTTGCGGAAGTAATGTGTTGTAAGGTGGACTCTTTCCCTACAACGTATCTGGGTCTTCCTCTGGGAGCTAGATACAAAGCTCTAGCCTCTAGGTATCTAGAACGGAGTAATTGAAAAATTTGAAAAAAAGTTGGCTTCCTGAAAAATGCAGTATCTTTCTCTGGGTGGTAGAATTACACTCATCAATAGTGTGTTGTTTCCAATCCCAGCTAAGGTCCAGAGGAGACTTGATCAATTAAGGAGAGATTTTCTATGGGAAGGTAATAGTCAAACTCACAAACTCCATTTGGTTAAATGGCCAAGAGTTGTTCTCCCCAAAGTGCATGGAGGGCTAGGAATAAAAGATCTCACTTTACACAACAAGAGTTTGTTAATGAAATAGCACTGGCGGTACAACATGGAGAACCCTGGGCTGTGGAAAGTTGTAATACAAGCAAAATATGGGGTGGCAAAGAACTGGTGTACTAGACAGAGTAGACTGCCACATGGTTTTGGGCCATGGAAACACATTTCAAAGTTATGGGGTGACTTTCAACTCAAGTCATCACTCAAGCTTGGGAATGGAACTCATATTTCTTTCTGGAAAGATAGATGGTTAGGGTTAGAGATCCTGAAAGACGAACACCCAAGTCTATTTCTATTGGCCAGCAACAAGGATTCCACTATTGAGCACTATTGGCAAGATAACTCATGGGCACTGCAGTTCAGAAGAGATATCCAAGACTGGAAACTAAATGACATTTTGTTATTCAGTAAGTTTTTGTATATGAGCAGCCACACTTTTGTTGTATATTTTTTCTATGCATCTTCTTGATGCCATTTAATGAAATTATCTTACTTCATCAAAAAATTAATCTATGTGCAAACATTAAACATAATAATCTATACAGAGTAAAATCCCAATTCTACAAATCAGCCTTATGACTAACAGGTATAGACTTATCTGTGCATTTTTAATCAGAAAAAAAAGTAGAGAGACAGGGTAAACAAAGGCGGAACATCTTGTGACAAAAGCATTGCAGAAGAATAGAAAAACTCCAAACAAGGGTCCATGCCAATTCCCTGAAGATCCATTTGTATCCCTTAAATACTGGTGGACCAAAATCAAAGCTACTCAACGAACAATAGAACAAAATGCCATTCAAATAGTTCCTTAAATGAGAATTATCAATAAGTCCTTAAAGGAAGAGTTAAAAACCTAAGCTGAGCAAAGATGCCCAGTTTTGCAATAGTTAAGGTTCCAACTGATCGTAACGGTTTGGAAGATGGGAAGAGATATATTTATTTACTCATTCAGATTACGAAACGGTCTCATGATGCCGGGATGGATTCCTTTTCTATGGAACAACCACATTGCAATGTTGTCATAAGAGATGGTAGCAACACTGAGACCAGAAACTCTTTGCTCTTTGCCATGTTAATTTTTCCATCTTATTTTTAAAAGATACTTGCTCCCAATGAAAGAGACGGCATGCAAACTACAGGAACTGGAATTACCATGGTAACATCAGAGAACATACCTATCTAGTACAACACATGCCGCATCGATAGTTATAACCTCTTGTACAACCACCTTCCTTACTGGAGTCCCAGCCGTAATTTTGACTTCAATGTCAACCTAAGCAAAATTTATAGTAATTTGTAGTAAGAACATATTACTACGCATAGCGGGAGCTTAGTATACCAGACTGCCCTTTTTTTGTAGTAAGAACAAAACTAAAAGGGATATAAATATATATAAAAAATAAAATGCATTGCAGTGGACAGAAATATAATGAGATGAGATAGCTAGAAAGACAAGTATAAGAATAGCTTGGGCGTTCAATTAAAATTCTACTCCATCCAGCTGCTTACAGCTGCATGCTAATAAGACCATTCCAAGAAGATCATGGAATTCAAAGATATTCCGTCTGGCTGGATAAAGGAAGAACCCATGGATATCCTAAGAATATTTTTTTGGAGAAACCTCAAAATATATAGAATGCGGGCAGCTCATATCATCTGCCTTGTAAGATAATAGCTCTCAAATTATAAACGAATTAAGCAAGGGATGATACAAACTATATAAACTGCTTTTTTGATATTGTCTTATCAAATCTGGAAGGGACGATCATCTTTCTATTTCTGCTACTATGCCACTCTTTATTTCAGTTACTTTACTTCAAGATTCATAAATCCTACAGGCTGAATCAGTGTTAGAGTGTGATTTCTATTAAGGTGGACGCCAGTTTATATGTTGATGAACCGGTGATTAACATTCTTTTGCACTTTCATTTAATTGCCGTTTTCCTTATGTAACTGGGCTCTATGTGGGTGTTGTTCCCCCTATATAATTGAGGTTAAGACAATATAAAAGTGGCAGTTTCTAAACCAAGTTCAAATACTTTGGGAGCTGTAATGTCTACTCCTATTGTGAACATCCGAAAATTAATTTTTTCAAAAGCTAATCTGTACTGCATCAGTTTATTTTTGAGATTTCATTGATATGCTAACACACGGATATGAACAAACTCCAAAAGACTGTAATGTAGTAGGTCAGACTCAACCACATGCCTCCAGAGTGAAGCAAACTTGCTAGGCCAGTGTGAAGTAAACATTTCCAGGATTTTCAAAAGGGTGGCTTCTATGGATACTTCTAGCCGCGTTCTATGATATATCAATTAGCAGTTGCTTGCAGTACAGAGCTATTATTAGGATTAAGCTGTATATATTACCCCTTCACCTTCACAGTCTTGGGCACTTTGCATGAGCATGTTCACATATGTATCAACCTTCTTTGTTACCTCTTTTTCAATTTCACGTTTGTGAGTTCCAAAAATGGACAGTGGCTCGGCTTCCATTTGATAACCCACTGCGCACAAAAATGAGGGAGCAACCCATACTGTAAGGATGTATAACATACAAGATAAGAAGTCAGCTAAAGACATGAGCAATGATACAGTGGTCAATCGCACACAAGGGCCTATGTATTGTGCTAATACCGGGTTCAACTAAACCCATACGCAGAGTAAAAATTTATATATAAAAATTTATTAAAATTGCAAATATAGTAGATATAAACCCATAACTTCAAAAATAAAATGTGTTGAATGCTAAAACCATTAAATGTTGAACCCATAGAATTTAAATACTAGATCTTGTTGAGGAAGCGTGTCAAGATAATAGAAGGAAAAGGATATTTAGGAGAGAAACAATAAATTGCACAAGACAAGACAAGACAAGATTTACGTGGTTCTGCAATTTTTGCCTACTCCACGGCCACACAAAGAATAGCTCTTTATTAATTGAAGAGAGAAAGAAGAAGTTTTGCGATGCTCTACAAATGAAAATGTAGACCCATATTTATAAGCATTTGAATGCCCTGCCGAGGTAAGCGCTTACATCATAAGAATGTCGATGTAAGCGCTTACATCATAAGAATGCTGAGGCAAGCGCTTACATCACAAGAATGTCGATGTAAGCGCTTACATCATATTTTCATCTCTTTTTGATTTTTCTTTCTTTTGTTTTGTCTACTTTCACATACAACAACAAGTTTGGTCCTATCAATCTCCCCCTCAAACCTATGTTACATCAAGAAAGAAAATAAAGAAAGATTTGCTATTCTCTGGTGGCGCCTTCACTCTATCAGTCTTGAAGGCTAACTGAGGCAGTGCACAGCCTCAGTTTGTCAACACCGACAACTTTGGTCAACATGTCTGACGGGTTCTTTGATCCTGGTATCTTCTGTAGGGAAAGAGTTCCTTCATTTATCAACTCTCGGATATGATGATACCTCAACTGGATATGCTTCGATCTTGCATGAAACACTGGATTCTTGGCAAGATGAATTGCACTCTGGCTATCGCTGAAAAGCTCACAATTGTCCTGCTCTTTACCTAGCTCTTTAAGAAAATTCTTGAGCCAAATCATCTCTTTTCCAGCTTCTGAGATTGCCATGTACTCTGCTTCAGTGGTAGATAGAGCAACACTTTTCTGAAGTCTGGACATCCAACTAATAGCAGTACCACCCAAGGTGAACACGTAGCCAGTGGTACTTTTTCGACTATCCAGATCGCCACCTAAATTTGCATCAGCAAAACCTTGTAAGATAATATTGCTCTTTTTAAAACAAAGTGTCATACCTGAAGTGCCTTTGAGATATCGCAATATCCATTTTACACCTTTCCAATGCTCCTTTCCTGGATCTGACATGTATCTACTGACAACTCCAACTGCATAGGCTATGTCAGGTCTAGTGCAAACCATAGCATACATCAAACTTTCTACTGCTGAAGCATACAGAACTTTGGACATGTACTTCCTTTCTTCATCTGTCTTAGGTGATTGGTCCTTTGACAGATTTAGATGGCTTCCAAGTGGAGTGCTTCTGGTCTTTGCATCATGAAGACTGAACCTGCTTAGTACCTTCTGTATGTACTTTTCTTGAGACAACTTTAAGGTTCCTTCCGACCTGTTTCTGCTAATCCTCATCCCAAGCATTTGCTTAGCTGGTCCTAAGTCTTTCATTTCAAACTCCTCCGCCAGTTGTTGCTTAACCAAGTTGATCTCATTTATGCTAGATCCTGCAATTAGCATATCATCAACGTACAACAATAAAATGATATAGGATTCATCAAGATTTTTGATATAACAGCAATGGTCCATCTCACATCGTGTGAAACCATTTTTATGCATGAATCCATCAAATTTCTTGTACCATTGTCGGGGAGCTTGTTTCAAACCATACAAACTCTTCTTCAACTTACACACAAGGTTTTCTTTACCAGAAACTTGAAAACCTTCAGGTTGCTTCATGTAGATGTCTTCTTCAAGGTCACCATGCAAGAAAGCAGTTTTAACATCTAGCTGCTCCAAATGCAAATTTTCTGCAGCTACGATACTTAGCACCAACCTGATAGTAGTTAATTTGACTACAGGAGAGAAGATCTCGGTGTAATCAATTCCTTCCTTCTGCTGAAAGCCTTTTACAACTAATCGTGCTTTGTATCTCTTCTTACCATCATGCTCTTCCTTGACTCTGTACACTCACTTGTTCTTCAATGCCTTCTTTCCTTTTGGTAACTCCGTAAGTATCCATGTTTTATTCTTTTGAAGAGAATCCATCTCTTCTTTCATGGCTAGCTTCCACTTATCAGAGTCTATCACCTACATTACTTCAACAAAATGTTCTGGTTCTCCAGCATCAGTAAGAAGTAAATAGTGAAGAGAGAGTTAACCTATCTGTAGCATTCGTGACTCTTTTAGATCTCCTCAATGTAGGTTCANNNTTAGGATCTTTCTATTCTGATCATCCCAAAACCGATAACCAAAATTATCATCACCATAGCCAATAAAGAAACATTTCTTTTCTTTAGGATCAAGCTTATCTCTATCATTAGAGTTTACATGCACATAAGCAACACAACCAAAAAATTTCAGATGTGAGAGAGTTACCTCCTTTCCTGTCCATACCTCCTCAGGAATTTCAAAATTCAGCGGTACAGAGGGTCCCCTGTTTATGAGGTAAGCTGTCATGTTAACAGCCTCCGCCCAAAAATACTTCGGCAATCCAGAATGTATTCTCATACTTTTGGCTCGTTCATTCAGGGTTCTGTTCATCCTCTCAGCAACACCATTTTGTTCCGGTGTTCCAGGAACTGTCTTGATCATTCTGATCCCATTCTCCGAGCAAAATGCTTTGAACTCTTGGCTATCATACTCTCTTCCATTGTCAAACTTCAGATATTTTAACTTTAGACTTGTCTAATTTTCAACTTCATTTTTCCATCTTTTAAAGGTAACAAATACATCAGATTTATTTTTCAGAAAATAAACTCATACCTT